CCTTTGACTTTCAGATGTGTAGAGATCCTAACCATGAATAATGGGAAAGAAAAAAATTTACATATTCTCAAGAGTTATATACCAACTCTTCTTTCTTTACCACTTGTGTTACTATTGGCCAAAAGTTTACAAACACTTCATCTGAGGGCTACAAGCTTTCAAATATGGATCCATCTTCCTCAAAAACATTTCCTGGGGATTTAAAAGATATCCCAACATGGAATCAACATTCAGAAATTGTTGAGATTGAGCATTCTGCATCCTCTGGCAGACCAGGAGATATCACTGTGTTTCCCTCACAAAATCCAGAACAGTGCCAGTCTAACAAACCTCAGCGTGAACAAAAGGAACCTTTTGACTTGTCAATAACTAACTCTGACCAGGAATATACAAACAAAAGTAAATTAGATGAAGATCACAATCAGAAATTCACAGAGAGGAACCCTCATCACGGCCATTATGCACAACTTGTAACTCCACCAAGTAATTCTACATCAGGAGAGGCACTTGGGCTAGACCAAAATGCCCACACCTCAATGACAGTCTGGTCTACCCAGAATGAATTACCATTATCAACTACATCCTTCCTTCAGCCTCATTCATCATCACCTTATGACTCGGCTACAGCTGTGATAACTTCAAAGCAGAATCCAAATATTCAGGGAGATAAAAGCAGCAGTACAAATATTCAAAATGATTCTCTCTCCCAACCAAGTAGGCTTCAGCCTACCCCAACTGAGACAGTACTAGATACTCCTCTTTGTTTTCCATCTCCATCATCAGTATCAACTACAGAAGATCAAATGAATGTAAGCCCATTTGGTGTTTCACCCTCAAGTTGTGTTACTACAGATGGAAGCAGTAAGAATGATGGGGAATTTACTATGACTGGAGCTGATGACCCAAGCATGGAAACAGGTATGAGTCGAGAATTTAATAGATTTTATTTTTCTTTAAAATATCACAATAATTACAAATACTTTCTTTTTCTGTTTTCTTATTCTAAAAACATATATAAACAAAGTTATGAAACAAGGTAGCACAACTAAATTTTAATAGCCTGCCTTAAAAAGTTTCTCCCTCTCCCTCTCCCTCCCCCCTTTCCCTCTCCCTCTCCTTCCCTCTCCCCCTCCCCCCCCCTCTCTC